ATGGCCACGGAGCTTCGGACCCCCACACAGATCGAGACAGTCGATCCACGGGGAGGAGTTGTAGTCAAGGTTCGCATGTATTTGGGGTGTTGAACTTTGACCCAGATCCATGTGGAGACATACTGTATCCGACTTTTCTTCAGATTCAATATGACTCAGACATGACACTATTGTATGATACCCTCGCATGGTTGCTGTTCTTCATGTTGAGGTAAGCATCCAACAAAAGCAGCGCAGTCGTAAAGCAGGTCGCAGACACATGACTGTGTATACATGTCGTATACACATATGTGTCGAAATGTTTGCATTTGTGTGCGCACAAGCATTTTCATAATTGCCCAGCATTTGGGAGGAAATTGCTGCGATCAAATCAAAGACATGCTTGTCTCCAGCTCCGCTGCAACTCCGAGACGAGTGTGACCTGGCCAGTCCTTGATGTGGTTTATAGCAACTCGTGTCCTGATGTTCCACTTGGTGTGTGATGTTCCGCCTGCAGTGTTGCAAGGTCAGAAGGCTCCGGATGAGCTTATCAGACTTGCGCAAGCAAAGACGCCGGGCGGCTAAAAGTGTCCTTTTGGAAGAATGTCGTGCAAAAGGATCAAACAAAAGTGCCCCACAAGAGTGCCCTAGAAGAGCAATGTCCTTGGAAAGTGTCTTTGAAGAGTATCAACCATTGAACCGAGAGTGTCAAAAACCGTTTGGCCGTTTGTGTTTGCGTACTGCGTGTGTGCATTCGGGTTTGTGAGCTCTTATCATTCATTTGAATCCATGTGATGGGCAAAACACGGCTAGGTTTTCGCTTTGTTCCACACATGAGGTGCATCTCCACTGCAAGTGCCATCCATAAACCTAATGTCCATCTGGGAGGTGCGATGGAGAATGGGTGGGTGGGGTGCATCACAGACGCATGTGGGCGGCAAAAGTGTGGCAAACGAAGGGTGAATTTCCAGGAGTCACAAAGGGGATCAAAGGCGTGCCTAATGGAGGATAGGGGTGCCCATTATCCACTCACTGGATGGGACTAAAAACACACCCGACATGTGACTCCTGGTTTTTTTGTGTGTTTGCGCTTTCTTTTTGATGCTCCCGCGCGGTGATCGACCACATGCCATCTGCTAGGGCAGGTTGAGACTACATGGCCTGTGGGCATGGTGCATCCCGAGTCTAAGCTATGCACGGCATGGGTGGCTCGACGGGAACAGCAACTGCCACCTTCGAAAGCTGCTAATGAAAGCCTTCTGAACGTGTGAAACTTCTGGAAAGTTTGCAGACATACTGAGTCAATTCTGAGATCCGGAACCCCACCCATTGGAACCTCGCTTCGCTTTATACTTACCTACATACGTACAAACCCTTGTGCTTGCAGGAATTTGTTGGACTTAGAGCTCCGAAGTTCCCCCACCATTTCTTGCGTGCCCTGCGAATGGCTGAGAGCACACAAAAACGCGATTCAGTTGGCCACTGAGGGAATCCTCGCCTGTTTTGTCATCTTTTGGAGTGGTGTAGAGGCACCTTTGGAGGCGAGGATAGACAGCCAAGGATGTTTGCAAAAGACCTTTGCATGTCTGAGAACTTTTGCTTTGTCCTGGCCGGCGGGCAGTCTCGCAGTGCTGAGGTCTACCATTTGCCACCGTTCATGGTGGACATAATGCTCGCGATCCGAATTGTATGGCTGTGCTTTTGGGTGGTTGATATTCTCTTCACTTGCAGCACAGCCATCTATGTTGACGGTACACTGGTCACATCACGGAAGGCGATTGTCAAGGCCAGTGCAGACACGGTTATATACAAGTCATTCACATGGTTGTCATGCTTTATCCAGACATTTCCCCCAGCTTGGTACAAGCTGACGTCTTCAGAGTCAATTGCAGCGTTTCGAACGTTTTTGAACGCAACAGAAGAGGCCTATGCAAAGTCCTGGCTGCTATGTTGCTTGGCAAATGTCTTCAATAATGAACTTGTGCCCGCTGAGCTGCCGCGTGGGGCTCCGATCCACGTGGCGCCTTGGGATGGGGGGACCACTGGGTCAGTTTGCCCTGTGACTTGGGCCCAGGCGACTTGATTGTGCTTGGTGTCGATACTTGGTCATGGAGCTGCCTCTCGCGGGACAAAGCTATTGTCCGCAGTATACTCATTGGAAGGTTCATTTTCTTTGCACGACTGCTGCCAACGATACGCTTCCTGGCGGAAATTCTGGGGCTGAGGGTGTGCACGTTGCAATTCATTTCAGGTGTTTCAGTATTGCATGGTTCGTGGCTGAGGCTACCACAAACTCTTGAAAGTTGTCCCCTCATTTGGCGTCACTGTGGCAGCACTTGGCCGCAACTGAGTGTGGAAGTCCATCTTGTTGTGCAAAGCCCCGGAGAGGACAAGTGTGAGCACTTGGCAGGTAGCTTTTGAATTGGATTAAGGTTCGGCGCGAGAAGAGCAAGTTGTTTCTGAAGATGTTCATCCTTCTTTTCATCCTTGCCTCCAGCATCCATCTTCTTGCCGCGCTTTGGTTTGTGGTCACTCAGTGGGCAGCCAGGTCATTCACTCGGTTCCTTCATGATGACTGTGCGTTTCTTAGATGGGGTGGTTCAGCCTGGCCGGTGCTTCTGAAGTAGTTCCCAACTTACGCCGTATTTTTTTCAATACTTTCGGCCGCACTTTGGCCAGACTGAGGCTGGAGATGTCGATGGTGGCTGGGTTGATGATGAAAGTCTCCAATACACACCTCTTGGCAGCCTGGTGGCAGCTTTGGGCCTCAAAGTCCCCCTGAACTGGGACCGGCTTAAGGACTGCATAGCGCCTAGGTACCCCAGTTCCTGAGCCACTACTTAGAGTGGAGACATTTTTAGGCTTCCATTGTCGCCAGCTTTCCCGCAACCAAGGCGACCAATACATGCGGAGTGTGGAGTGGGCACTTTCAAGGCTGCCTGCCGCAGCCATGGGGTCGAACATGAATCTGAACACCGGCCTTGAACGAGGCCTTGCCATTCTGGTGGCTTGCTTGCAGAGGTCCAGTCTCTCGTTCCCCTGCGGTGCAGGTATGGGGGATGGGGCAGGGCGAGTCCCTCTAAAGCTGGGAGGGCAGATGTGACTCCATTCGCCTGACCGCAGTGGTCAGGCCAACACATGGGGAGTTTGTAGGCCGAGGCTCTCTTGAGCCTACGCTAGGAGTCCTCTCGTCTCAATGTGCGCCCGCCATCGAGCTAAGGCCACATTCACAGCGCTCTTGATTGGCTCCTTGACGACCAGTGTGGTAACCAACACCTTGGCCAACCTAAACAGAGCGCTTCAAGAGAAGAGGAAGATTCTGAACTGTGCCTGGTGCCTTGTGGCATGTTTGGGGAAAGACGTCCAGGATTAGACGAACAATCATAGAGTACCGTACCCCGTCGCCTGTTCCACCCAGCCATCCTGCCTTCCTCCGCTGCCTTCCTCGCCATGCAGCGGTGGGTCCCGAGTAGCGGTGTGCCGCCAGCCACGGCCGAGCCGCAAGCCAGGAAATACTGCAGCACCCATGGTCTGAGTCGATCATACTACACCAAGATCAAGAAACACATGGAGCGAGAGCAGTTGCGCGTCCTGGCGGCAAACACGAGGTTTTAAACAGAACAAGGGGCCTTGCTGCAAAACAGCGTCAAATTAACACGTGGCTTGGACCAGGGTGCTTTGATTTTGTCAGGGCTAGCAGGATGTGAGATGCCATGGCTCTCGTAACGGGAGAAGCTTCAATTTTATGGACACATTATAGGTACTGGTGGCTCACGTGTGGTGTTGTTCCAGCCGGTCGGAACGAGGCAATGAGCGCAGAACCTGCTTGAAGACGTTGCAGCAGCTTCCCAAGGAGAACATTCAGGGCGCTTGTTGGCAGTTTTTTGGGATTATTCTGGGTACCCGAGATTAGTTGAATTGTATATTGGAATCTACTAAGCAATCTTGACACGAGGCCCAGCGTCGTCGTCGTTGGGTCCCTGAATTCTCCCCAAGGCCCTTGAGCTTTGGGAGGTTGGTGATGTCCGCTGACTGAAAAAGATGCTGTCGTCCGCTGTCTCAGGAAGACGCTGTCGCAGTTGGTCCTGGTTTTCGAATCGCAGTCTTTTCTTGACTCATCGACGCTCTTCAGGACTTGGTGCAGGAGCTCTTTGCCGAAGCACGCTGCAAGATATTGAGTTCATGGATTTTTTTTCATGAAATCGCTGGCAACTATGGTGCGAATATGATGCTCGGGCACCAAAGGTTTGGAAAAGAACGTGTTGCAAAAACTGCGGGCTGGAAGTTCTGTAAAGAAAACAGCACCAAAAACGTACTTCCAACTTGTTCAGTGCAAGATATAGAGCTTACTGGCCAGAGGAGTGGGTACGAGCGCACACACGGGGCACGGACGTTCAGATACACCCCATCGCATTCGGTGGGAAGCAGCAAACGTGGGGTTGCCGTTCTAAGTTCTGTCTATTGATTTATCGGCCCTCATGCTCTATAAGCCCATATCATAATTGAGGGTTTACAAAGGTATAATTCTGTGTGTGGCACATGTTTCACATATGTGTTGATGCCTGGGTAAAAGGGAGCAATGTCGGCCCACATTCAGCCTGGTAGGTGCCTTGATTTTTGGCGGAGTTGTTTTCGCGCCCAAGGCCCAAGCTGTTGGGGTGGCTTGTGTTTCAGTACATCTTTGTTGTGTAAAACTGATGACCATCAAGGAAAAACATGTCAGCAAACCCTCTTTGGCTTTGTCAGGCACAGCAACCAGCACGAGTGTCCCCCTAGGCCCTACTTCAAGATTTCAGACGTTTTCTTTTTCACCCAAAGCCTCCCACTGCATCGGAGTCTTTCTGGTAATGCCGTATTGTTAGATGAACATACATGCTGTGCACGCGTGTGGCCTGCCGGCCACGAAAGAAAGACAGATACCATGGCTATGGCCGGACAACTGCAACGGTGATACAGTTCTGGAAAAGACATTCACAAGTGTCCATGTACACCACACTGGCCGTTGCGTGGGGATGTCACTGAGGAGCGTTTGCAACCGAGCAGTGTCAGAGCGTTTCTTTCTCGCCAAAGACGTCGTTTTTAAAGGGGGCCTTGTCGCACAAGGCCGGCGGGGTTTGCGATTGGAGAATCACAAACCGGTCGTTGGGTGTCCGCGAGCTCCTTAATGGGATTTATTTGCTTGTTGGCTGAGCAGCACCTCACATGAGCTGGTTGAAACGCCCGCATGCTTCGTGCCAGGCATGCTCATGCTCAGTTTCCAAAGCACCTACTACTCCCTCGCGGTTGCGCATTTCCAGGCTGATTCCATGGCGACAGATGCCGCATCTAGGATTGAAACCTTGAAGAGTCTTCATGAATCATCATCACTAACGAAAGTTGTAAATCGTAAAGAGTCCTGGGTAATAACTCGGCTTTATATTCCTCAAGACCTTTTTTCAAGTGTATACACCTGAAACAGTTATAAAAAGTAGAAAGATCAAACACATTAAATGTAAGTATGTATATATATATATAAAGTCACTGTTGGCCGAGGACTGCACTGACATTGTACCTCCAACAAGCTCTCGCTCAGCAAGAGTGGCCGATTGTGACTCTTCTGCTGTTTGGCCACAGAGAGTGGAGGCAGAAGTGCCAATGGCTGAACATGCTTTGTGGTTGGCAGTGTGGCAACATGAAGGCACTTTGCAAGCCAAAGGTGCAGGCTGGATGGTTTGACGTTCGATGCTCGACAGCGGAGTCTCCTCAGCTGTTCGTCATCACATATTCTCGATTGATTTGTTTCCACGGGCGTTTTTCAGCGTTGGCTGTGGCCTGTGGCGAGGTGTGGGTCTTTGTGTCTTGGCCTCCGAGTTCCTCGTGGTTTTGGCGGAGCACCCGGCCATTCTCTTCGAGGCCATCCAGCGCGCCCACCGCTTCCTCGAGACCTTCCAGCGCCTCCAGGAGGAGGCCAGAACTCGGTGCCGGAACGTGCGTGGTCTCACAGGGCACAAAAAGGCACAGAGGTGGCTATTGAATCTAAGCTCCAAGCTGTTATCAGGAGGTATATAGAGTCTAGAGGCACCCTTACCAGCAAAAAGAGTGGAAAGGACAGTTCACATGGTCTTCCACAACGAAGCCACCACATATCCCTGAAGTATGTCTCAAACCTGTCGCAAATCCCCGCTGCCAGGAGGAAGGGTATTGCTTGAGCGACCTGCCACTGCAGAACTGAGGCTCTAAATTTAAAGGAGTCATCCAACGAATATTCTGTACCGATTTATGAACTTCATGTTAGCAACCCTCTGCCTGGCAAACATTCACGCAGCCACTGCGAATGGCAGTTGCGAAGTGTCGTTGAATGTGTGCCCGCAGGGGGTGCTTTTCTGTGTGTCTCAGCGCGAGCACAGCGAGCACATCCACCACCCAGTCATTCAAGTCATGATGACCTCCATTTGGCACCCCTCGAGGGTACGGGTAGCCCCTCTTTGAAAGAATGGAGGGCTACGTCACCCAGTTCAACGTGAGAGGCTCAGCGTAGCTTCTTCGACACAAGCCAGCCTAGGTTTCCGCGCAATCCTAGAGGAGTTGGGAAGTCCTCCTTGAAGTCACTACTGTTTAGCGAGCGAGGGGGGTTGTGCTGCCCGCAGAGCATGTAATCTTCAGAGCATTTGCAGCATGTTTCTGATTTTAACATTTGGCCGCTGAGACCTCGATGCAGAGGCATCGAGCGAGAAAGGAGTCATGGCCTTGACCACTCTGATCCGCAGTGGTCGCTGAAAGCTCTTTGACTGTGCAGGTGCACGGCCTGAGCATTTTTCATTGCTTACCGGGCGCGGAGCAGGGATGGATGATGGAGCATGCAGTATGCTTTCATTCAATCACCCCAGCCAGGAATCTCATAAAGATTTGGCACAAACCCATCGAACCGAAAGAAGTCCTCAGCTTGCCGGAGGTACATTAATTTCCCGGGAATCTTTGCAAGCAAGATTGTTCCAAATTGTTCTTTTTCCACCAGATTTAGGGCGGCAAAGTACCGGTATTTTTGTCACCTCGCAATTTGCCAATGCAGTGTCTCCCTTACCAAAGGTTGGGGCTGTCATGGCAAGAGAATGGAGAGAAGTGGGAAGTCCTTTGCAGCTCGAACCACATGCGCGATTTTTAGAGGAAAAACACTGGAGTGGGCATTCGAGTGCGCTGCATTGCCTCATTTTGAATATCTTGACGCGCATCGGATTGTCACCGGACTGTGTTGGTGTGTTTGATCGTTCATTTTTAAGATTGAGGGTCTTAGAATCAAGGCTGGTATTGTACAATTTTGTGGCGCCTACATCCCCCACAAGTTGTCAATGTGATGGTGTTCCTAAAATCTCGTCTTTGGGTAAATGCTTTGTAAAAGTTGGAACGGGCTGCTAATGGGAGTGGTTTGGAATTGCTCCGGCTACGCACGATTCTCACTTGCTGCACACGCGTCTCGTGCGCGGAGTGTACGCATCGTCCAGGGTCTATAGGAGGGATTTGGGCGAGGATTCTTGTCCCCATATCTAATCACAAGGAGAGGGTGAGGTCTGAGGGTGTTCCTTGTAAAACATGTTTTTAGAGTCTCGGCAGGTGCGCACAAACCACTCTAAGGATTGACAAACATTCAGGGAAGTGGTTATGAGGACGCAGCAAGCGAGAATCAATGCTTTAAATTGATACCTGGACCTGGTGAATAAATACTCTAAGTCAACAAATAAAAAAAACAACACGCATAGACAAGCGTAAAATAGAGCAAAAGAGAATTAAGATGCGTAAATCACAATAACCGCATATAGTAAGATTATTTTTTTGTACATGGAAGACCGTCAGATCCAACCCCGTCACTCAGACGGTAGATGACTACAGCATATATATATATATACACAGCATAAACTGCAAGTATAGGTGTGAATCGTTTCTCATCCGACCGCTTTCCCATCCCTGCTTGATCCTGAATGGATGCTGGAAGTCCGAGCCTGGGCGGCGAACGCCGGAGTATGGAGCCAGTGCGGTGAGCTAGCTGTATCCAAGCTGCTACGAGGGCGTGGCTAAAGAACTGACACCTGCGAAGGGGCAAGCGGCGCCGGAAAAAGCGTTTGCACAGCTTGGCTCTGCTCTGCGTCGCCTGATCATGTTTCACCGCATGAGGGCACAGAGCGAGGATGGACGATGATGAAGCGACAAGTGTTATATATGGATTGCCAGCCCTCAAAATTGCAGAACCTTCCAGTCATGAACCTCTTCAAAAACATGAGAATATCCATTCCAAATCCTAAGGTAATCAGAATGCATCAGAAAACGCGCAGTGCTTCGATCTCCATGATATCGTTGATCACGCCCGCCAGCATTTCCGGCCGCGTCCCAGTATCGGGGACCAGATGGGCTGGGCTGGAGAGTGTGCTGACTCAGTGCCAAATGGACATAGCCGTGCACACAACCTACATTGAAGCCCTAAACCAATGAGGAGAGACCAATCACCCCATAAATCCGCCCGGGATCACCCATCTGAGACGCATCCTGGCAGACATTCCATCACAGGCTGTGGGTTTGGGGGGTTTCTACGACCAATTTGGTGCATCCAACCTGTTTGGATGTGTCCAACCTGATGCACCCAGTGCACCAGTGCACCTTCTGCATGGGAGCAGCAGCAAACAAGCTGTTGTATAGCATCTCCTTTTTCTGCAGATCGTGCTTCACCGTTGGAAGGGCACGAGCAAGGGTAAATGATGGAGATGTGTTGGGAGGTGCATGTATGTGTTCAGTGATGCGTCCAGAGACTGACATCATCCGTAACCACTCCCCTCCGGAAAAAAACTTGCTCCCAGAGGGCGATGGAGAGAGAGAGAGAGAGAGAGGTAGATAGATAGATAGATAGATAGATAGATAGAGAGAGAGAAGATCATTAGCCATTAGTGTATAGGTATATATAGGTGTGAAAATCCCATCAAACCCGAGAAAGCAACTCAATCCCTGGCACGTGCTTCATTTCCTCAGGTTTGGTTCAACGTTCTCCCGTCTCACATGAAAACAACACGCTTCTTTGTATTTCGACCGGCCCTTTATCGCGGAAGCTCCGTAGAGACAGAGCTGTAGCCTCTTCACAGTCTTGCAGTCTCTTAGAAAGGCCGGCTGAGGTCGGCGGCCTTTCGAACTGAGTGTCGCTTAGTGAAAGCGAGCAACCTGCTGAGCGACTGACCGCGCTTTTTGCGGTGCAGCCGCAGTCGGAGACTACGTCCTGTCATGTGCAAACCAAACACGGAAGGCCCCAAGGCCACAACAATCAAGGATCTCAGAGACCGCCCCCGAAGCCCAACGAAGCACACGGGTGAGAAGTGGTCTCTCAAAATGCAGGTGATAACCTCGGAACGCCCATTGATTTTGTGTGGTGTCCCATGTTGGGAATTCACATTCCACCTCGCTGGCGAGCAACATGCATATCTCAATGTCCGAGAGCAACCACAGCTCAGCTGTGGGTTCATCAAGTTCTACCAGCTGGGCAAACAATCTCTTAGTAAAGTCGCTCGGTTGGCGGCTCTTTGGAAAATGCGCACTCAGGGCGCCGATGGGCAAGAAATCCAAGAAGCAATCTCCGTCTACTGGCAGCATTTGCGTAAGGAGAACTTCATCACATGGCCGGGCAGCCAGAGGTACAGGTCAGACTGCCACCGATGAATTGCCCTCTGAACTGCTTGGAGGTTGGTCCGAACCGCTACCCGGTCGGCCACTGCATTCCAGGTCGTACACCAATGGTGAAAAGGATCATCTTGTTCTTCATCTTGGCGTGCTGGGAGCCATTGGCAGTTCCTTGAGAGACCAGGAGATGCCAAGATAACCTCCAAGTATTGGTGCCACAGGTCACGATTCTTGTGCACGTGGGTAGTTGTGCCCGTGGCCAAGATCTGATTGGCAATGTCCACCGAACTGCGTGAGTCTGACCAAATCTTAACATCACAATGCGTTGCAGCACCCCAGGTTGTAGCAGCCAGAATTGCAGTGGCTTCTGCACGATCAATTGCTTGTCGTGGTCCATGCAAAGGAGCAGCGTGTACCACCTGTGAAGTATTGGCATTAACCACACTCCATGAAGCCCTGGAGGTATAAGAGCATCTCGGGTCAAAGCCGGAGCCATCAGTAAAAAGGTGCTGCAAGTCCCCAAACGAAACCCAACAAAGGAAGTCAGTGGGTTCCCACGGGAGCGATTCATGATGTTGGCGAAGTCGGTGCAGATCAGGGCTGTACGGAACCAAGAGGTGATAGATCACACTGTCAGGCAGTTGCAACAATCTCTGTTGATCATCCGGGGCCAGAATTTCCCAATGCTTCTGCATAAGTGGGCAGATCAACCAGTGTTTACGATCGTTGCGAACATTGCAAGAAGTGCAGAGCTCCAACTTGGTCGGATCATATTTGCTGTGTTGGGAAGAACCGATGAAAGCGCCTGACTGTAAGGCCATAACCCTTGCCCGCTCAACGCCGGTGAGCTTGTGGTGATCCAGCAAGGTCAGGTCAAGCTCGATGCCATTATGTAGTTTCATGGTCTTATGTTGAGCCCGACGTACCGCCGTCTGGATGGCCGCATCGAATAGTCTGCGGTGCAAAAGATCGCATCTAAAGCCTGAAGGTCATGTACCCAGCCAAAATGGTCTTGCCAGTGAAAAGGAGACAGGAAACACCAGTTGAGCTTCGTGCTCAGCTCAATGAGGTTATGGGCGAAGAGTGTAAAAACAGCCCTGAAAATACCGTTCCATTCGCTCTGAACTCGTTTTCGAGCAAGCGAGTCGCTGAGCTCTCGAGGAGAGCCGGTCGTTCCGAGGGCCCGACCCTTTTCGCGACGCGGAACGTAGAGGTCGACCCGTCGCCGGTTCGGTGCGCGGGACTCGCGACTTGAGTTGGTGCGTTGTTTGAGTTGTGAAAGAGTTGGTGGGAGAACCGGGTGATATGCAATGAAAAAGTAAGAACCCCACACAAAGTTGGGAGTGAGAAACTTCTGCCTGGATTTTCCTGCAGGCACCACCTGACTTCCAACAATGACCATGACTCTAACATCTTTCAGAACGTGGAATCCCATTCTGCCCAGAAAAATGGTTTGCAACGAATGGCAACCAATCTGAAAAAGCGGCTCCCGGGTTTCGGTTCGGGAAATATGTTGTCCTCTTCCACACCTTCTGCACCACCTTTTTGTACTGCAGTGTGGGCTGTGTGGATGCTATGGGGATGGCAAAAGGGGTGACCGGCCTTGTTCTCACATTTACCGGCAAGGTGCTTGCAAGGTGGTACGGCAGAGCCATCTCACTATGTTTTTCTTCTTTGGGGTCGCATAAGTGAGCAAACCAGTTGTAGGAAAGCACCCCTTCAGAATGAGCTGCCCAAAACCAATGCTTAGAGTGTGCCGCACTGCCGCCGGAAGTCTTGGCATGCGAGCTGGGGATTTTCATGTGTTTACCGTATGTCTCGTATGTCTCGTTTTTGCCATACTTACTCGGGCGTTGGCTTTGGTAGACTTCTGCATCATCCTTCCAGGTTTACTCCCCTGCAGATTAACATGGAACCCCCAAACTACTGGGTTGTAGAAAAAATAGTCTTCCACAGGTCAATTTTCGGGTTCTATGTTAGTTGGTGGGGGGGGTATATAACGAAATCTCATCCCTCCAGGATGCTGCTTCAGACCTCCAGAAATGGAGAACTGAATGCAATACACACAATCCTGAATAGATGCATCAACGGCACCTTGAATACCTGAACAAAGTGCAATTGAACTCCAAAGTGTTCAGAAAAGATCCCAGAAATCGCACCATTACTCCTCGTGTTCCATTATGCTTGTGTGCCATCAGCTACCCGCCCAGCCGCTGACAGCGGCGCCAGTGAAGCTACAATCAGCTTAGCCACGGCAACGCCCGCATGAGAGGGGAACTGACTTCAGCAGGAAGGACCCTTAACTGGGTCCGTACTAGTAGTATCTAGTAGTAACAAAGGGCATCGCTACTTACAAGGAGCAAGGACGCTACTAGGGGCGCTCCTGGCCTTACTACTAGTTACTAGTAGTAAGAAACTACTCGTAAACTTTGGATTTGCATTTGGGTCCTCAGGGGTTGCCGCTTAGGAGTATGACTTCATAGCTCACTCGTCGCTGTTTGAATCGTGGAAATCCAGATCTTCATTGCTTCTTCCCCAAAAGGCCGCGTGTTGCGGATGCTTTTTGCCCACTGCCAAGAGTCTCGGGTCGGCATTCAAGCGCCAGGGTTGGCCCGCAATGCCGCCGCAGCATAGTGTGGCGGTGGCCCGTTGGCCTCTTGACCTGTTTTTCTAGGAACAGCTCATGACATCTCATGACAGGAGATCAGAGATCGAAGCTGCTTCCAGCGAACTTCAACTGTTTTTGGACCTTGCTGTCAGAGTCAGAAAAAAGGTGACGCGAACTTCCACACTTGCAACCATTTGCATACATATGTTACTTATTCTGATACGCAACCATGGATATGATTTTGGCCCTTGCCTCCTTTTTCCGGCTTTCACTGCTGGTGGCAAGCAGTACACACTGGCCACGCCAATCGGTACTCCAATCGATCAGGTGCAGTTTTTGTAGGCCGCGCAGCCGTAGCCGTTCATTTTGGGGCTACCGCTTTGTCCAGGGTCATGCCTTGTTGCCTGGGTCTCGATGCATCAAGCAATGTGGCGAATTTGTCGAGAAAGGAGAAAGAGACCTCGGTATGACAACATGACTCAATGATGAGTTCTGAAGCCGGGAATTTACGATGTAAGACTTCCACATGCCTTTGCACACTGAGAGATCTAGAACACATGGACCCTGACATGACCTGCCCGAGGAAGACTCACGTATTACTGAACTGCGGGGCCTCCAAGTGTTTGCCGAGAAGCAGTCCAGGTGCATAATATTGCAAGACATTCTTCCCTTTGCCCCAAATGGGGCGGCGAAGAACAGTTTAAGAGTTCAGAGTGCATCTCTTAATTGAGCAAGGCCGATGACATTTCAAAGGTGTCCTGAACATTGAAGCGTCATACTGCTCGTGCGGTTGAACCATTCATTGGAAATGCAGCAGCCACAAAAAGCTACAGCCGCGTCGTGCAGCGTTGTTGCGGGACTGAGGCGTTACCACCTTCTTTGAAGCAACTAGACCTGCCCAGCAAAGATGCCTTCCATCCGTGCAGTTCAGCATGGGTCGGCGCTGGCTTGGAGCCTCAGTGATTTTAGCTGAGTTGCTGGAGGGGCAGTTTCAGAAAAACACCAGCTTGAATTGCTGGGGGCAAGAGGGTATGGTTTTGTGGGCTTCTTGGATCGCAAGTTGGTGTATGGGGTGTGCCTCAACAACTACGAGCCGGTCATTTTCTTCAAGGTTTTCAAGAGTACTGGCACCTTTGGTCCTGTCCATATGCTTTCAAAGTGAAGCTGATCCAATGAGGCTGAAGAGCCTGACTTGCATGAACCAATTGGAGCCAGCCTGGCTTTCTGTGGAAACGGCCCAAGCCAGGATCAGGTGTCCGTCTCCTCATGGACCACCTTTGGTGGGTCGGGAACCTGAGGATGATCTGAGGCCGCTGTTGACCCACCCGGGCCCCGCTGTGCTAAGCTGATGAGAAAGGCACCCCAACAACCACTGCGCTCCTGCTTGGGCCCAGCAAGCTGCTCAGGTCCTTTTACCATGCCATGGTCTTCCCACTAGCGATCTGCATCTTGGCTTACGAATAGAGCCATGGCCAAATGCCATTGCAAGATATTGCAAGAGTCAAACCTAGCGGTGTTGAGATTTTGAACCAAGCTCGGAATCGATCTATCATGCCAAACATCACTTCCATCCCATGGCGGTTGGACACGAGTCCGAGGCACCCTGCTATTGGGCTGGAGTGCTCTACCGAGCCGCTCAGCCGAGTGGCCCATGGGCTTTGGCCGGTTCATGGCGCCTCGGATGGAGGGACCGTGTGCCGGAGAAGGAAGAGAGGAAGGGCACCAGAATCTCAGGACTTGAGAGAACTCCAAGCTGTTTGATGCAAGTCTGAAGTCACACCCCCCTACTACTGTACACCCCCAAAATTCATCGAGTGAACTGCAACCAGTGCGTGGCGACCCGCCAGGTGCCCGTTTTCCCGACGCCCAGGTCACCTACTTGAGCGCTTGGACGCTGTGCGTGGCTGCCGATTGGCTCCAAGGTCCTTATGTCTATGCCCTCTATGAGGCGGGTTGAGCTTGCCGGGGTACGCAACGACCGAGCGCGAGCTGCGGTGTACGGTCCGAGCGTCCTGGGCGTTGGGAACGTGGATCTCTTGGTTACTAGTAGTAATGGCCTCCAACCTAGTAGCTTCTTGTTACTACTAGTAAGGCACTGGTTGCTAGAAGCGATGCACTTGTTACTACTAGCTTCTTGTTAGTAGCGTCGTTGAGGAGGCGCCTGACGTGTTTGGTCCCGGTGGTCGTGGCCGCTCTCACGACGCGAATCAGAGGGAATCAGAGGGAATGACTCAATGACCCTACAGTGATTCGCCATGCGAATGCCTCAAAAGGAAGGACAACTATTTTCAAGCGATACCAAAGGTTCTTTAGACAGATGGTTTTTGGTCTATTTTTGCTACTTATCTCCTGCTTCGCACACCGAATCTCAACTCATGAGGCCTATGGCTTCAGCTCCCACGAGATTGCGCAGCTCTTCGTGGCAGGCTTCGGATCGGCCATGCTTTGCAGCTGCCCTTCGGCGGGACACATCCGTCGCTTTCATCCGTCGGTCGAGCGCGTTAGAGTCATCTTCGTCACATGGGGAGACTCATGGCACTGCATCTCAGCGCCCGACTGACCGAGCCAAGGCTTTGTGGGTGGTTTAGCGGATCGCTTTGGTCGGAAAAAAGGTTGCTTGGCCTACTGCCACTGCCTCAGTGACTTACCGACCTTCGGACGGCGGGGGGGAACGGCGGTGGTGGTCGAGTTTCCACAGCGTTCTCGGGTTTTCCCCAAGTTGTATGGTATGGTGCTACATCTTCGCAGCTGATTGAGCGAAGAGGAACCTATGAAAAGGTGTAATTAAGTTAGATAGAGCATCACTTGCGATTGGGGTGGCCACCGTGCTGGTGTTGGCGCCACATCTCGTTGCAGATGCAAACGGTGGACCGACCAAAGTGGCCTTTTAGATTTCGCTGGGTCTTTAGATCCCTCGAGAAGCAACTGCTTTGTGCGTTTGTGAGTTCCAAGTGTGAGAAATTTGAGAGACGAATCTCGACGCGTGCGCTCCATGTTTCTGAAGAGCATACTTCATCATCCTACGTCGCACCTGGTTCGCTCCATTCAGGTATGCTGTACATCTTGTCCTGCGCCACCAAGCATTGGCCTGAACGCCCAGAAAGACGGACGGTCCCAATTCGGTCGTGCGAAAACCGCGCCTGTCGCCGAGCCATGGGCAGTGCGTAACTCCATGTTGAAGTTAGGTTGAAGTTAGGGGGGGCATTTTCTTAGGCAGATCTGTGCGCCTTATGCTCAGGAAGAACTACTGGATCCTTATGCTTGGAAGAATCACTGGAGGCTCGTTTTTTGCGCCTGGAGGTCGTTCGCTGGGAGCGACTCTGAGCGACAGCTCAGAAACAGCGGTGCTACTTCCGTTGTTTTGCAAGCTTGAGCAACAGGGTTTGGAAGATGCATTTGATGCATCTCCCCATCATCCAGGTGTGATTGCTTTGTGCACCACAATGTGCCAGGATCTGCCAGGCATTTGCTTATGTCTCGTTCGTCTATCGAAGTTCCTCCTACAAGATGGACACATGAATCATGTGAATTTGAGGGCCCTGGCCGTAATATCCCCTTGAACACCTCGGGGTTCTGAACAGTGAACATGTGAATATGTTCTCCACTTTACGCTGGCAGGCTTTGCGACCTCCTTACTCTTCTCCTGCTTTGAGTGTTCTGAAGCTCAGTGGTGAAAGAAGTGACACGGGTCAGGTGGTTTCCAGGTGGTTTCCCTCAGTTCGTTGGTTGGTGGTTCTAGCCCCGCCCTCGCTGAGGCTGGATGGTTTCGGAACACACTTGCAAGCACCAGTTCTCCTCCGGCTTACTCTCCTACATGCCGGGGCCAGAGATAGAGTGGCCACGCGTGATGGGTGATGGGTGATCTTTGAATTGCGACCAATTGATTGAGTGACCTCTGTGTGTGTCTCGCGATGGTAGTTGCACAGCCACTGACCGTTACTGAGCTCCGAACGCGGGTGGGAGTTGATGAAGAGGAACGTGGAGCTCCAGAATTGTGGTGGGCAAAGCCACGATGTTTCTCGTTCATGTTGTTGATCCACGGGGAATGCGAATGCGCTGAAGCTCCAGCGTTTGAGGTTTGGGATGAAGTTCACCATCATGTACTTGGCCCCTTGGCCTTGGCGTTGAGAGAGGGGTGACATGGAAGTGAGACAAGGCTAGGCTACACGGTCACATGGTCATTGTTTGGGACCGACAGGGCGCTGAGGCAGCTCTGACGAGGATGTGGCAGACCAAAACATTGGCATTGAGTGAATCCCTGCAATACTATGGGCCTTCATTGAGGGCTTATACGGAGTACAGTATGTTGCTTTGTTCAATTGTCCATCATCTTTTGGTGTAACAGCACCACGCATCCGACCCGACCTCATCCAATGATGCAATCTGAGGTGGCCATCGTTTCAGGACTGGTGGCTCAGGCGTGGATGGATGAAACCTCGGCAAGACATGCCCTTTTTCCACTTGGAAAGGATGTGCAACGAGCTAGCTTGGGTAGGACGGTCGTGCCAAGGTTCCAAGTATGTAATTCTTGTGGCCTGCGAGGTTGGCGTGGACTCAATCCCCTTTTCACCGGTGGATGGAAGCATCCTGTGCGAGAACCTGGTAGGGATGTGGGTGGACATGGGATGTTAGACGAGATCTGGCGAGCTTCGCCTTCTTTGATGAGGCAGCTGTTTCAAGACTATGGTGGTGTGCACCACCCCTTGGTGCAAATGATGGCATTTCCCAAAGCAAAATGATGGGCGGCTAGTGGTAGAAGGGTGGCCTGGCCTTCGAAAAAGCGGGGATATGATACAGCATCGATACTCATACGTGCTCTGGTTGTTGACTCCATTCAACAATCTTCCCCAGACACTCCGTGTATGCCATATATGCCTACATTGACCCCCAAACCACCCCAATGTAGGCATATATGGCATACATGGAGTGTTTGGGTTCCAGCACTTCTAGCTCAGCGACCATTTGACGATGTGTGTGCCGTTGATGCCACAATTTCAGTCAGCCCGCCGCGGCACGGTTTCAGTCAGCCTGACTTCCTAAGGTATTATGGTGGAAATGTAGTGGCCTTCGACATGTCTGTGGAGTCCTGAGCAGACAAAGGGCCAGGAGTGGAGAGGATGTTTCATGTTTGTTTCCTCGTTGTGGCTGTGGTTTGAGCCAGCTTCGCCCAAAAAATAACCAAAGAAATCCAGAGAAGTGCTTCATCTGCTGTGTAAGGCAGCAGTCTTGGTGATCGCCATGGTTGTAATCTCTACAGTCAACAACTCAGAGGGCTGGTTGGATGGCAGACTTTGGCCTAATTGAATTGACATGGAACCAGAAGCTACTAGCAACAAAGTGCATCGCTACGAACGGAGCGAGCGCTCCTGGCCTTACCACAAGGAACAAGAAGCTACTAGGTTAGCAATGATAGGGCAGCCCCTGCAGCCTCAGAGTTGCGATGCAGCTGAAAATTCAGCCGAGTTGCAGGTCTACAGAGTCTCCGATCTTTGTGTGCTTGGTAGGTCTTGGCACCGAATCTTTCCCTGCTTTCTGAGGTCTGGGACGAAAACTATGGAACACCACTTGAAGAGGCCGTGGGTGATAGGAAGGTGGAAGGTGCGGAATATGGCCAGGGATGGGCAGTACACCAGGGATCACCAGGGTCTACCAAAAAAAGAGAAGAGACAGACATGATATGCCTGATGTTGTCCAATAACATCTCTTGCCGAGTCAATTGTACACAAGAATGCGGCTACAAACTGCTTTAAGATGAGAGCAACTCTTGTTGACGAAGCTCGATTGCAGCACGACTACTACTTGAGACTTGGATGCCACATGTCCAGGGCCCGGCGTCGTGAAAGACCCCGGGAGCCGGTCCACAAGTTCAAACGATTGAGCGTGAAAAGTTCATGTGCACAAGCAAGAGGATGGCGGATATATATATATATAGTTATTGTAATTATATATATATATATATTCATCGCCGCATCGCCCATGTCAATGCATAGTTCTTCTTGGCTTTGAGCCTTGCTGGCAACCCCATTAAAGTCTTCTTCCCATCTACTCTGGCTGAAAGCTGTAAGAACGAGCAGTGGCCACCCCTCAATGCACTGCACCGCAGCGGGATTCTCAGTGGTGGGATTCTAACCTGCCACTGCTTGGCCGTAGCCCACACATCCTCACATGTGATCCAGGTCCCTGTAAGACTGACTTCTCAGTCACATGGCCGATATCTATTTTCTATTTAGAGACCGCCAGGCTGCTGAGTCCGAAGGCGTGCGGTTGTGGTTGGGCGCTGGAAGAAGCACGCGTTGCCGCTGGGAAACCGGATCTGAAAAGTGTAAAGTGTACGACAGACCAGAAAATCCACAAATTGAACAGGATTTTGTGGAGAAGCCGATTTGGCCTCAGATGTTTGGAGGTGATGAGGGGCAAGAGGGGATGAAGAGAGGTAGACCCTGCACCAGCTGGTTGGCTATACGGCTATACATGCCGACCAACCCCCGAACCAAGCCGCCAAGCCAACCCCCGGAACCCAACACGTCAAACGGTTGGCAATGGACCAAGTGAGCGCTTGATTGGCATCGATGCAAGTGATGGACAAAGTGTTCAGGTCCCCCATAGCTGAAGAGTTTGCGCTGAGATTTGGATGCATGCCATCTATAGCCCTATAGCAGCCATAGCAGCGCTGGGAGGTCCATATTGACATTTACTTTCACTAGCATTCCACTGCTGGACCGAAAGCGCCGCGTGCGGTGTTTTTCACCCGTTTCACCGACGACTCCGCCCCCGCATCGGCCGCGAAGCGACGACATCACCAGCGACACCGACTGGGTTGGACGGTTGGACATCCGCAGGCGAGAGCTCCCTGAAAGAGGCGCGCCAACGACAGTTCAGAGAAGTCGGGAGCGAAAACGACGTTCAGAACGAGTGCAACAGAAGGTGCAACCAAGGTAGTTCATGTATCTTTGTCATTGTCTTGTGTAAAGTTATGTGGATTCTATAATTGTGCTCCTCATTGCTGTGAGTCGAGCTTGAGGTCGAGCTTGAGATTCCTTGCAGGAATTATACTATATAGTTGATCACGTAGCAGGGCCCGCATTCGTCGGATAGAATTCCGCATGATCTTCTGCATCAAGCGCGCGCCCAATCCACCAACAGGGGCCGACTGAGGCCTGGATGGCCCTCTTCACTTCTTCGCCTTTGATTGGCCTTTGCGTGATCGTGGCCTGCTTTGAAGGCGATCCAACCGGCGATCCCACCGATCCGGGAACCGGCGGAACCGGCGATTGGAGCTGTACAACGCGGGCCACGCAGGTTCGATGTATTCCTTCGTCTTCAATTGGACTCCATCTTTGGAAACGGCCGGAGATGCTTGGAGAACTCCGTGGCTGGTCAAAGGTTCTCCGCGGGGGGGGGTGTTGTCCGTCGTGATGATGAGGCAAGGGCTAGTAAGCTTGGGAACATCTTGCTCCACTCACAGAAGCTCATGAAAACGGATTTCTGTGGTACTTTTGGGGCAGCCCGGCCTTGAACCAGCGACCTTCAAGTGAGGGCTGAAGTGGCGGGACCTTGAAGGAGTTATATAGTCCAGTCGTGGCGAAATCCGCCGCGGGTCTTCACGTCCGAGTCCCTTAAGGAAACGCCGCCCCATGGTGTGGTCTTTGCGCTCATGATGATGGCCTGCATGCCTGGGGCCCCAGGTGCAAGCTAACGTGCTTGGTTTGGGGTGACGAGCCTTTGGCACTAGCAACTTGAATGGTCAACAACTGCAACTACGGCCAAAACCCAAAGACCCGGGGCTTATAGATAAAAAATGATAAAAATGACTACAGTGACTGCAGCATTGTCAATTGTGTGCCAAATTCTTCCCCCCATCCATCAACAACTTAGCCCTTCCATGAGCATTTCATTTGTGAGCCTTGCTTTGTCTGCCTCGGAATCAGGAAGATTCTACGTTTTGGTCTTCATAAATCTTCTGATGCGACCACTTGTGTTCCACTTGCGCCTCTTTGTGAATTTTGGTGGACATTGAATGGACCAGTAGGACCCCCAATTAAACATCCAATAGACAGGCAAGCGCCTTTTTTCCCCACACATTCTCCATGACATGTTGGACCACGGTTGCTCATCAGTGCTCATCCATGCTTCAGTCCGAGCACCAGCAATCTGAGCGTGTCCGAGCGTCTTGCACTTCCAGCTTCAGCGGAGAACGCGAGGGTCTGGACCCCATCGAAAGGAGTCACAAAGTGGTAAATCCATCCCGACTTTGTGGCAATAGAATCTCACCTAAATGGTTGGTGGGTTGCTCCCTAGATGAGTTCATCTGACCAAACCTTGCTTTGGGGCTTTAAGCTTGGAAGGTTTTCTTCACATTGAGGGCCGTGATGTTGGCGTCATGATGTTTGGCGCTGCTACCTGTCCGAGCATCCAAGCCATCCAAGTCCTATTCACTGCAATGACGCTGGGGGAGAAGGTCCTCGTGAGATCCGGTGAGAAGGTCCTAGGTGAGGTGAAGGGATGCATGGCTCCCAAATACACATATGGAGGGCGGGGAGGAGCAAGAAGGATTTGGGAAAGAAGAGTGCCATGGGGCATGAATCTGCTGCAAACGCCATGCTCCGATGGCATGGACAGCGATTTGGATGCCTTTAGTGGGCCTTGTTGGATGAGGATGGGCAGAGCTCGTCCCCGTTGCTTTGAGCTTCTCATTTGGTCTTGGAGTTGGGCCATCCAATGTCTATAATCATTTAAGTAAGTTGGTGGAAACAATTGCCGTCAAGCAGAGCAGTTTTTGGACATCTTTGACGTTCTCACACACGCTTCCATTCGGTGCATGCCTTGCTTTCCGCTCGCAGGGTGCAATGACTGTGGGTCAAGGACTCACTGTAGGTCAAGTGAAGGCAAGTTTAAACCCCTCAACATGAATAGAACAATGGGCGTTGCATCCGATCGTTCTGGGGTATCCTGTTGGTAGCATGACACACTGGTCGTATCTGTTGAAATTCACCTCATCCCCATGGACCCCGTAGCGTTGACTCTCAAGGTAGAGCAAAAGGTAGCGCTTACCGGGCTAGCAGGGTTAGCTAGGTAGTTAGTACTATTAGAGCTGATCCTGTAAAATACAGGTTATCAGCCGTAGGCTAGCTAGATTAGAGCTATGGACCCGATGGATGACGACGTCCCACCAAACTCCTACGGAAGTGGCTTTGACATAGTTCCGAGTGTGCCCAATAGTTTGGATGCAGTTCAACGGCATGAACAAGCGGTTGCACAAGTGGCTGCAATGGATCCAAGGGTTGCTTCGGAGGTGTACCAAGAGATGCTAAATAGTGGTGGTAGTGTTACTCTTCAAGAGGCGACACAAGCTACCCTAGCAGGTATGCCGTCAGCCACCGTAGCTGGTGCGCCAACAGTAAACAACTTGTTGGCAATGACTCGGCTCAACGTCGTCAACCTGAATGCAACGCCAAACGACGAAGAACTACGACGGGAGTTACAACAACATGAGTTTTTGCTCAGCGAACAAGCCAGGAGGGAAGCTGAAATCGAGGCATTGCGCTTCAGGAGTATTTACGAAAGAGAAGCTTCCGAATCTATAGCGGCAACAAAGGCTGCCGCAGAGCAGGCAATGTTGAATGTTCAACAAAGGGCCCAACAGCAGGAACAAAGTGTTCAGCAAATGGTCCAACAGCAAGACAATGTTGCAATCAAACGGTTGCAAGGTACATTGGAGGAGCAAAGGGAACATTTTCAGCAGCGGCTAGCTCAGGCGACAGCAGCTCATGAGAAAGTTGTACAGGAAAAGAATGCCATGGCGGAAGAAGGCAATGCTTTTGTTGACAAAATGAGAACTGAACATCACCAGTATGTTGAGCAACAGGAGGCTAAGCTGAAGGCAGCTCTAGAGGCAAAGGATCAGGCAAGACATTCGTCTGCTGAAGAATCCCGGATCGCCATAGAGCTTGACTTCAAGCGAGAACAACTGGACAGTTCGTTAGCAATTGCACAGGCAAAGATCAAAACTCTTGTCAATGAGATGGAGACAACAAATAAGCAATATAAGGTTGATCGGGAAACGCAAGAGCAAACTATAGTTGAGCTTCGCAAGGACAATGCAATGTTGAAGGGTGAAATGGACGAGCTCAGACGTGTTGTACAGTCCTTGACAGACAGGGAAGAGGAACGCAAGGAAGCGGAGCGCAAGGCGCAATCCTCTAGCCCCGTTAAGCCAGGGCCGCAATATCCTGAGCCACTTACACCTTCTGCTCGACAAGACGCTCACCCAATTGGTCAACCGCGATCTTTTGAACCTCTACGCACGGAAGGCACTGTTCCAGCAACCTTAGACGGTAAGCCTCGTGAGGAAGGCGGATCCCCTATAAAGACGGCTATGGATGCAACAGCGTCCACGCGCAACACTGGATTCCCATCAATGTTCTCAGGGACAGGGGCGCCCGCAACGGAACAGGCAACGGCCTCTACGGACAGGCAACAATTCAAACAACCGGATCCGTGGACGGAGTACATGAAGAAGTCAGCGCAATATAACTTCAGTGATGATCCTTTGTACAAAAGCTCCTTTAATCAGGAAGCAACAAAGACTAAGGATGATCGCACGGACGAAGGGCCGGCTTCTCAGGTAAGAACTCCACAAGACCAAGATTTGGGGGAAATCATCAAGAAGGCCTTGCTAGAAGGGTTTAAGGGCGCTAAGAGCAAAGACTCTGACAAACCCAAGGCAAAGGAGGCTGATAAGATAGATCTTCCCGAATTCCCAAGTCCTGATAGGTACCGCGCTTGGAGGGCCGCTGTTCGCGAAGCGATACGGTCCGCGTCCGATGACCCAGACGCTGCGTTCGCATGGGTGCTTGAGGTGTACGCTGTTCGTGAAGACAAAGCCAAGCTTTGTTCCGAATTGGCTGACCCAGGCAAGTTTCGGACCTTAGACACGAAACTACTTGCTGCTTTAACTAAGGTTGCCAAAGGTGAACTGTCTCAGCAGATCCTTAATTATAAGGAATCTGAGGCACAGCAAGGTAGGATCGTCCGTGGTCGTCAGGTGTTGCTCATGTTTGAAGCCCACTTCAAGACCAGTGAAGAAGCGGGTGCACTGTATGGCACTGAGGACCTCCTCAAGATCTCGCTTGATAGCGACGACTTGAAATCCTTTCTAAGGAAATGGGAGAGTGTTCTGACCGGAATGAGTCATGTCCCAGACCCGGCAACTCTCAAGGATTTGTTTTATAGAGAGGTTAGGAAGTCCCGCAAGCTCAGATTTGACCTTGATGTTTATGAACGAGCGCCGGAGGGAAGTAACGACAGAAGCTATGAATTTCTTATCAATTCTGTTCGACGTTACCTTGACAGGGAAAGGCTCAGGACCAATCGCGAAAAGATATCACAATCACACGCGGCAAAGTTCGCAAACCCGGCACCGCACGACAAGCGCACGCGAAGCCCAAGTTATGGCAAACGAAGCACAAAGGGTGACGGAAGCAATCAATGCTATGAGTATGCCAAAACTGGTAAGTGTAAGTACGGGAGCAAATGCAAGTACTCACACGACTCTAGCGCCCGTCCCCGCTCCCTTAGTCGGGAGTCGTCTCGTTCGCGTAGCGCAAGTCCGAGCAGCCGTTCATCGTTCAGGTCAAGCCGATCTCGAAGTTCGTCAAGACACACTTCCCGCTCCAGTTCAAGGAACTCATCAAGAAGCTCCAGTAGAGGGAGGAAATCTGACAAGCCATGCAGGTTCTTTGCAAAGGGTAACTGCAAAAGGGGTGACAAATGCCCGTTTAAACACGGAGACACTGCAACACCAGCCCCGCGCAGAAGGAGTCCCTCGCCCGCAGCTAAAAGGTCTAAGGACAAGAAATCCAAGAAGGACAAAAAGGACAAAAAGAGCAAACGGGAAAAGAAGGACAAAAGTCCAAAGGCCAGTCCATGTATTCAAACAGGTTTCGCAATGTCTTGCTTAGCAGCAACCGCAACTCGGACCCAAAAGAGTAAAGACTACTGGGAATTCTCCAAAGATGGCAATGAGTTGATTAGGCACCATTTGAAGCCTAGGCACAGGTCGTTTCTCCCAACACGTAAATCCTGTCCAGTTGAGTCATCTAGGTTGGAAGACCAGTTTACCATGGTAGTCACTGACTCAAAGGGAAAGAGTAGGACAATCAAGGGTAATTGGAAGAAACACCCAAACGCGAAACAGAAATTTGATTGGACTGGAAAGTCAATTTTCCGTGTTGTGCAAGAGAAGAGAATTCGTTTTGAATTAGAACCGGAGGTACACACCTTTCCTGTTTGGAAGGAAATGTACCGGCATGTAGTGAATAAGAGCAAGAAGCGGAACCTGTTCCGGACCACTGAGGAATGCCCAAAGTCCCGCGAGTGTGACACTAAGGACGCCATTTTGGCAGCGGAGTCACTTAGGCAGATGCTCGTTTCGATGGATACCGAGGAGCCTGCGTGTGATTTCCTTTGTGAACATTCCCCAGAAGGCCCCGATGATTTGTGCTGCACGAAGTGCAGAACAGTCGTCGGAGAACAGGTGCCGTCATGTGCTCGCTTAACAGCGACGCCAAACATGGTTGGTATGGAGAAGTGGCTGGGTGACACTGGCACTGACCAGGACATCGTAGGTAAGGACTCTAAGACAGTCAACAGGGCCACCAAGATATTCAAATCCAACGAACCAATCTCCCTTACTAC